CTGGGTGGGCATTCTTACCAGCCTGGAACATATCCCTATCCCTATGTTGGGCATCGCCTCATCACGATGGCGATCCTTAGGGATTTCCTCAGTTTCTGAGGGTGTATCCCTAAGATTGTCATCTGCTTTTAGCGTGTCAATCTTAGGGATAGGGATAAGGTCGAGGCTGGTGGTGCCTGGGGGGGCACTCGCGGGGGCCTCCGTGTGGACCTCCGCGGCCCCATCATGGGCGTGAGAGCGAGCGGCCTCCGTCCAGATCCGGGCCGCCCCGCTGCACCCGTGCGTCCAGCTGCCGCCCACAGGTGGACCGAGCCTGGCGAGATTTGCGCGAAGTCCCCCAGACCGCAGATTTATCATGGGGGAGGAACGGGTCCAAGAGGGAAGAGGGTGAAGGGGCCCTGAGACACACAAATAAATACACACAAATAAAAGGATTCCGAATATTTTCAATCTTTGTTTTGGGTTTTCGTCTTCTCCCATAGTTTCCCATATTTTCCTGGGGATCGACGATTCATTGTGTGTGTTTTTCCCCCTCCTGAGAGGGTCTTGGGCCCCGTGGCCTTCCCCCCCCGGACCACATCTTCCTCCCGAGTCGCTCGCGGACAGTCCCGGGGCCCGTGCAGGGCTCCGAGGGCCCGAAAGCGGAGAAAAACCCTCAGGACCTCTCTCCCTCAAGATCCGTTATCCCCATGGCGAGCATAGAAGAAGAAATAACTGCATAAACAGAAGCTTTTGGCGCTCCGCGCGGATTTCTTGGATCTGCGCTGGACCCCCCTCCCCGGCGCGCGGAGCGCGACATGGGCGGCGCCGGAGGCGCCGCCAGGGGGGGCCCCAGCGCGGATCCAAGGAATTCGCGCGAAGCGCCGAAAGATTATAGTTACTATGCTTATGCAGTGTTCTCTCGGGGGTCTTCTGACCCAGGTCAATCCAGACCCGGGTCAATCAGGCCTTGCAGAATCCTGCAAGATCCTGCAAGATCTTGCAACCAAGTCTGGGTCAATGCGAAGGATCCTGCAAGATCCTACAGCATCCTGCACCCAGGCCCGGGTCAATGCGACCCTGGCTCTGCAGGATCCTGCAAGAGCGGGCGCTCTGGCGGACCATCGCTTGCACTGACCCCCGTCTCAAGGCTCCCGATTCTCTTCTCCGAGAGCGAGGAGTTCTGTCGGAGACTTGGACATGGGCACCAACACCAACCAACACAGGGGGTTGCCTCCACAGGAGGAAGATGACCCTAGATGTCGGTGTTGGTGGAAATGTTTCGGCCACCTTGGAAGCAAGAATGTCACCACCATCACCGAGATCGGGATCTTCTTCCCTCGGTGGAGACACACCGCCGAACTTTTTTTTCCCCCAGGACCGGAACCACAGCACAATTGCGCCGAATCCCAATCGTCGAAGACTCCGCCACCCCGCATGGGGCAATGAGAGAAGCAAAAGCCGACGAACAGGACACAGCAAAGACAAATGGCGCGATCAGGAGAACAGAGGAAAATAGAGCACACGCAGAACGACCCAACTACAGTCGGGGCCCTGAAGAAGGAACCCTTTTTGTTGGGGAGGGGCTCCGTGTTCCTTAGTTGCTTTACAGTGCTCCTTGGGTTTCCTGGTTTTTCCATGGGAAATCTGAGTTTTATGTATGGGAAAAAGGGGCCTCGTTCCTTATTTATCGTTCCTCAGGTCAACGCCCCGACGGTACGGAGGCACACCGCCGAACTTGGTGTTGGTGTCAACCTCTGGGCCTGCGATTCCGGGACCCTCGGAGGCTCCCGTGCAGCACCGCGCGGCAGGCTGCGGGCACGCCGAGGCCCACCGCCCCCCCCCCCCCCCCCCCAAGGTTCGCCCCCCCGCCCTCCCCCCCCCCCCCCCTCGCCCTCGCTCCTCCCCCCCTCGCCCTCCTCACCCCTCTCCCTCCTCCCCCTCCCTCCCCCTCCCCCTCCTCCCCCCCCCCCCCCCTCGCCCTCCTCCCCCTTCGCCCTCCTCCCCCTTCCTCCCTCCTCCCCCTCCCCCTCCCCTCCCTCCTCCTCCCTCCCTCCCCGCCCCCCCCGTCGTCCTCGCCTCCCCTCCCTCCTCCCCCCTCCGCCCCCCTCTCCACAATTACTCAATCCGAATACTACTCTCCTCTCCCCCGGTGGCGTCAGGATTGTTCGGCCCCCCTGCGCGAACTGTTTCTTTAACACAGAGGATTCCTGGGAGTTGGGTGTTCGCTTGAGTTTTTGTATCAACGTGCTGATCCCGCTGAAGCGCTGGACTCGGGCTTCCGCTCGTTCCGAATCGCGCTCCCGCTGCAGGGCTGGCCTCATTCCCGCGCTTCCGCTCGTTCCGAATACAGCTCCTGCTGCAGCGCTGGCGTCGTTCACTCCAGTGCCATGCCACGGCATGCACTGCAATATTATGTGGTGTTCCACTGTGCGATACCATGCCTTCAGCTGCAATGCTAGGATATGCAGTGCTTGACTACGCAGTGCTACGCCATGCTATGACATGCGTCGCTTTGATCTTCAACGCCATGCTATGCCATGTTCTGGTCTATGCCGCTGTGCGATGCCATTAGTTGCGTTGTAATGCTTTGTGATGCAATGCTTCACTACGAAACGCCACGCCATGCTATAACATACTACGCTCTGCCGTGCTCGTATGCGCCCTGCTATGCCGTGCTCTTACATCGCGCACCCTCTCGTGATCATTGCCCTGCTCGATGTCCGACTGTGCGAATAGAGAGGATATCTACGCCATGGTAAGGGATGGGAGGGAGGGATAGGGTGTCAGATATGCCGCGAGCGCACATGGCTTGTTCTCCCCGCTCCCTTCCCCCCCATCGCCCTCCTCCCCCTCCGCCCTCGACCCCTCCCCCCCTGCTGGCCCTGCGCAGGCAGTTCCTCCCCTCCTCCCCCCGTATCTCCTCCCCACCTCCCCCACCCTTTTCCCGTTGCCTCGCCTTTTGTCCGTGTGCCCGATCCCGCTCCCGCCATCCCTCGGCGCCCCGGCCGGGACTGCGCGGTCCAGGCTCCCAGACATATGCATGCGGCGAGGATGCAACTGGATCCACCGCGGTTCGGCTGCGGAAGCCCTCGCATCCGCCTGCCGGCGGCGCAACCCATTCATCAACCACTCCACCACTGAACGATGGGAGGTAGAGCAGCTGAAGCAGCCTCCAGAGCGTCCTGGATGGCCTCGTTGTTCACCTCGGAGTACCGAAACGTACACATATCTATTTCGACACAAGGAGATCAGCCACCATGTCGCAAGCAATGAATATAGTCTCTTCAACCCCTTCTGCATTGAATACTGTCAGAGCCCACCCCTCCGTGTTCTGGGCGACCCCGGACACTCGTTGTCTTTTCCGAGTGACTCTTCCAGAGGCCTCGGGGGTGTGGCTTCGAATCCTCACTTCCAACATGGACTCAGATGGTCCCAAGACCTGTGTTGGAGCCATTGGGGGCCGCTTCGGCCGTCTTGGAGGCTGAAGGCCCTGGGGAACACATCGGAATTCTGCATAATTTGTACATGTTCGCTCTTTCGTTCTAAAGAGTGTCCCTGGCTGTACAAGATGCCTCAAATCTCGCCCCAAAGAAACCCTGGACGCTCTCCAAATGGTCCCACGAGTTCCCGGAAACGGTTCCAAGATGGGTCCAACAGTGAGGGGGCAAGTACTAAGTTGAATCCTACCATGTTCCCAACCATCCTGTGGTGTTGGGTCCTCGTTTTGAAGAGACAACGCCCCGCGTCCCTCCCTCCCTCCCGCCTCCTGCACCTCCTCCTCCCTTATCCCAGTACTTGCCCCTGCCTTCATAATGTCTCTGTTTCAACACACCCCTCACACGTTTCGTGGCCCTATAGGGAGCTCCACCCAGGAACCCAGTGGCGCAGCTCGTATGGCGCCGCCGCCCCCTTTCGGCACACCCCTCGCACGTTTCGTGGCTCCATAGGGAGCTCCACCTAAGGTCCCAATGGCGCAGCTCGCATGGCGCCGCCGCCCCATGCCGGCACACCCCTCACACGCTTCGTGGCCCCACAGGGAGCTCCACCTAAGGTCCCAGTGGCGCAGCTCGCATGGCGCCACCGCCCCATTTCGGCACAAACCTCAAACGTGGAGCTCCACCTAAGGTCCAAGTGGCGCAGCTCGCATGGCGCCGCCGCCCCATTTTGGCACACCCCTCACACGCTTCGTGGCCCCATAGGGAGCCTCACCTAAGGTCCCAATGGCGCAGCTCGCATGGCGCCGCCGCCCCATTTTTGGCACACCCCTCTCACGTTCGTGGCCCTATAGGGAGTTCGAACTAAGGTCCCAGTTGCGCAGCTCGCAAGGCGCCACCGCCCCATGTTGGCACACCCCGCACACGTTTCGTGGTCCCACAGGGAGCTCCACCTACGGTCCCAGTGGCGCGGCTCGCATGGCGCCGCCGCCCCATTTTGGCACACCCCTCGCACGTTTCATGGCCCCATAGGGAGCTCCACCTAAGGTCCCACTGGCGCAGCTCGCATGGCGCCGCCGCCCCATGTTGGCACACCCCGCACACGTTTCGTGGCCCCACAGGGAGCTCCACCTAAGGTCCCAATGGCGCAGCTCGCATGGCGCCGCCGCCCCATTTTGGCACACCCCTCACACGCTTCGTGGCCCCATAGGGAGCTTCACCTAAGGTCCCAATGGCGCAGCTCGCATGGCGCCGCCGCCCCATGTTGGCACACCCCGCACACGTTTCGTGGCCACACAGGGAGCTCCACCTAAGGTCCCAGTGGCGCAGCTCGCAAGGCGCCACCGCTTCATGTTGGCACACCCCGCACACGTTTCGTGGTCCCACAGGGAGCTCCACCTACGGTCCCAGCGGCGCAGCTCGCATGGCGCCGCCGCCCCATTTTGGCACACACACACACACACATTCACACACACACACACACACACACACCTCGCACGTTTCGTGGCCCCATAGGGAGCTCCACCTAAAGGCCCCTGTCGTGCAGTTTGCATGTGTGCGTCACCCCGTGTCGGTGCACCCCTCACACGTTTCGTGGCCTCATAAGGAGCTTCACCACCGAAGGCGCCAATGGCAATGCTCAGACGTGGGCGTCACCTCCGTTTCGGCACACCCTTGACGTGTTTCGTGGCCCCATAGGGGGCTCCGCCTAAGGCCCCAATGGCAGTGCTCACATGTGGGCGTCACCCCCATTGTGGCCCACCCCTCACACGTTTCGTGGCCCCATACGGGGCTCCACCGAATACGGTTCTCACAACTGCGCTACTCACAACTGCACATGGTTGGGCCATTTCACCAGGATCAATTTCTCACATGTGGACCCCGAAACCACCAGCAAGCCCCCGAGAGCCCCCCAAAAGCCCTCAAAGGGCCCCCACGAAGCCTCCGAAAGGCCCCCACAAGGCGCCCGTGAGGTTTTCAAGAAGCGCGCAAGACGCCTCCGAAGAGCTCATGGGGTGCGTCAACAAAACGCATCTTGTCCACGACCCAGGCACGGTGACGGGATGGGTGGAAGGCCATGGACCTCGGAAGCCAGCAGAAACTTGGAGGCACCCCGCGGACATCCAGGCAAAGATCTGCGGCTCGGGGATAGCATCTAAAGCGAAAGCCGAAATACGGGTGATGGGCTCATGGATCAAAGCGGTAGCACCAAGAAACCTTGCGCATAACACGCGACAAAACGCCAAACTCTCGCGTTCGTGGGGGAATCCACGGCGACAAATGCACGTGTGTTACCGCATCGGGGGCCTAGTTGCACCGTGCGACTGCAAATCCGGAAACCCACCTGAGCCCACGAACCTGCAACCCCACCCGCCAAGCCAACATGGTTTCGTAGAACTTGAGTATTGAAGCGCCGCCCTCATCATCCCACCGTCGCTAACGCAAATAAGCGTTCGCAACATGCAACTTTTGCCCTCAACCATCACCATCATCGCATTGTTTGCTGCCCTCGTCCACGCTGTCACCATCCTTCCCGCCATCCTGATCGCTATCGTTGCGACTGCTGCGTCCACTTATACCCGCAAGAAAGGGAAGGGGCTCGAGCAGGAAGAGAGAAGGCATGGCGGAGAAGGGATGGGGAGGAAGGAGCAGGGATGGCCACCCGGCCTTCTGACGGACAGATGTGCTTCGCTCCGTGGGTCCGCGGCCGGATGGCAGGCATTCGTCCCAAATTCACGCTCGATGGCCCTGGAGGGCGAATGCGGCCCCGGAGGCCGACGTCGAGGACCAACGACGGGATTAAGCAAATCGAGACGATCCCCGCGCTCGTGGGAAGGATGGGGGCGGGTGCCTTCCCACCCGGCCTGGCCCAGTGGAGGCCCCATGGAAACCGAGAGCGCTAAGCAGAAACCCGCTGTTTTTTTTCTGCTGCATAATTTCGTTCTTCGCGGCGGCCCCCCGACCTCTCCAAGGGGCGGATTATAGCCGGCATGTCCGGCGGAATCCACAGCCGTGGCGACGATAGCTCCGACGGAAGCGCCCCGACGAACCGTAAGTACCTGGTGACGTACCCAACAAATTCTAATCCGTTGGCAATCTATTTAGGACCCGCGCTGCGCATGAAGGAGGGCATACACGCTCAGTAGCAACAGCAACGCCGAGCGCAACATACGCGGGACAGAACAGCGCACTGCGCCCGATAACAGAACAGCGCGTCGCTTTGGACGAGGCAAGAGCACGGGGTGGCATGGCGGGCCAGAGGCAGCTGAGGATGGGAGGCCACGCGCACACAAGACACCGCCACGTGCTCCGTGGCGCAGCGGTCCCCTGCGAGCTGCGATATGCGACAGTGCCGAACGCCGCGTGACGGGGCAGCGCCGCGCGCTACGAGAACTCCTGCCATGTTGGATGCGAATACTCCAGATTTCGTAATAAAGAGAGGGGGGTCTCATTTCGGGGGGGGTCTCTTCCAGGCTATCTTGGAGGGCCTGGGGGGTCTGGGGACGATGTTTTGGAGGGTTCTCCCACGGGGGAGGTCTGAAATGGCTTGTCTTGGAGGGTCCAGACCCCCTCCCTTTTATGACGAAATCTGGAGTAATCGCCGTCAATTGCATCCCTCGTCGGCGCCCGCGCCAGTGATGCGCCGGCGACAGCTACCGCGAACTCGCCGGACACAGCAGGCAGGTGTTTCCGTCAATCGTGCGAGAGCTGCTGCAGGCCGAGCTCGCGCGCACCGCCTCTCCCGCCGCCCCCTCCGCAACCGTTCCGTGCGGGCGCGCACCGTCCAGAGGTGCGGGCACCGCGAAAGTGGCGACAACTTCGCTCTTCGCAGCCCCCGCAGGGAGCCGCGAGGTCTCAACTGGGTCCCGTGTAACGCCACTCCGCTGGACCTCCCAGGGGCCCACGAGAGTGGCCACGCTTGCACGCTTCGCAGTCCGCCAGGAAGCCGCGAGGTCTCAGCTGGGTCCTCATACAACTCCACCCCGCGCGACCTCCCACGAGCCCACGAAAGTGGCGACCGTTGCACACTTCGCAGCCCCTGGGTCCCCGTGCAACCGCACTCCGCGCGGCCTCCAAGGAGCCTACGACCGTGGCGACAGATTCACACTTCGCAGCCATCCAGGGAGCCGCGAGGTCCCAGGAGCCCACGGAGGTGGCGACGTGTCACGCTTCGCAGACCCACGGAGAGCCGTGGGGTCTCAACGGGGCTGCGGCGCAAGCAGGACGCAGACGAGCAGGGAGGGGGCAGAGAAGGGAGAGGAGAGAGGAGGAAGCCGCGAGGCGAGGAGAGGCAGGAGGCAGGAGAGAGGAGGAGAGGGGAGGAGGAGGTGAGACGCGACCACAGGTGCTCGATGCAAGGCGAGAACCCAACACCGGATGGTTGGGGAAACAACGCTCGAACCTCAATCCTTCGACGGCTTCCCTCCGTGGCGAGGTCGCCTGAACCTCGGGGATGGCATGCGCCTCCGCCGCCTTGGCGGCTTTGGCTTCCTCCGCGCCCACGCCTATGTCGTAGATGCTACAGTACTCCTGCCAGCGAGGGGAGAGCACGGGGAGGGAGGAGGGAGAGCATGGGGGAGAGGGGGGGAGGGGGCGAGGGCTGGGAGATGGAAGGAGGCGGGGAGAGAGCGAGGAGGGGAGGGCGGATGGGGGTGCAAAGTGTGTGGGGGGGAGGGGAAGGAGGTGGAGAGGAGGGACTGGGGAGGGACAGCAAGGAGGGTGGAGGGACGGGAGGCAAGGGAGGGGAAAAAAGAAGGGGGGATGCACCGCGAGAGGTCAGGGAGGGGGACAGGAGGGGAGTGAGGGAGAAACGAGAGGAACGGAGGGAGGAAGGGGGAAGGAGGAGAAGGATCAGGAAGGCCAGGATGGCAAGAAAGAAGGTGGAGAACAGGACACGACAAATGAAGATGCAAAGGTGGGGGAAGCAGATCGACTGAAGGCGAGCGAGGAGGATAAGGTCGCGAAAAGCGAGGTCGGGATCGGTAAGCTCCTCCACCGCTCTCCTCAAGGCATCGCCCTTGGGCAGGTCTGGCTCTGCCTTCCGTATCGCCTTCTCCCGGTTGAAGATCCAAGTTTCCCTCGCCTGGCGTCGCGAGACAGGGGTCCAATGAGGGGGTGTGGGCGCAAGTCGCCGAGAACAAGAAAGGGCACATGAAGGCAGCCGGCAGAAGAGCGCCCGATAATCATAATCGCGTTCTTCATCAAAAGATCTTTGACACTCCCCCCTTCCTCCTCTTCCTCTCATACTCTTCAATCCCTCCTCTTCCTCCTTCCATCCTCTTCCATCCCTCTTCCCCTTCCCTCCTCCCTCTCCAGTCTCGGCTCGAGACTTGTGCTCAGAACGAGCCGAAACGCCAAACACCCCACATCCGTTATTCCCTGGCGAGACCAGACACGTCGAATCCGAGGCCATGACACATTGGCACCACTTTCGCTTTCAGTCCACGCGCGCGCCGCGGCCTCGAAAGGTCCCCACCGTGACCGTCCCAATCTTCCGCAGCCCAAGCCACCAGGCAAGAACTGCCCGAAGGTAACCTTACCAGATATGAGTCTGTCCCGCAAGGAAGCCTGCGTCGCCGCACTCCAGAGCAGCTGTGGCGTCGACCGATCAACCGCTGCAAATGACGAGTTGGTTCACAAGCGCACTACCGAACTCGACGTCGTATACCAACAACACCGCTCCGACCAACGCAATGTACAGAGCGAACTGATGAGGATGATGCGGATGATGATGAGGATGATGATGATGATGATGATGATGATGATGAGGAAGACGAAGACGACGACGATGATGATGGTGATGATGATGGAGATTATGGAGATGATGATCATCAGGTGCTGATGAAGATGATGTTGTTGATGATGATGATGATGATGATGATGATAATGATGATGATGTTGATGCTGATGCTGATGCTGATGCTGATGCTGATGATGATGGTGATGGTGATGATGATGGTGATGGTGATGGTGATGGTGATGGTGATGGTGATGATGATGATGATGATGATGCTGATGATGATGATGATGATGATGATGATGATGATGATGATGATGATGATGATGATCCCGCTCTCCCAAGTGGGGGGGCAGCCGCCGACTCGCGGTCTGTGCACGGCATGCCGCACCGCTCCCCTGGCCATCGCTCGGACGTCCATTTCCTGTGTTCTTTTCGGTTTCGTGCGTGACTTTTTTCGCGACATGATCCAGGATGCTCCTCGATGGTCCTCGCCGAGAAAAAGATGCACACGTCCGAGCGATGCCAGGGTCCCTGGCGCTACAGAAGCAGGCCCCTGCCGGGACCCGCTGAGAGTCCACGGCCTCGGCCGACATCCGCCGGGGCATCGCCCCCGCCGCACTCGTCGGCCCCGGCAACACAACACGGGGCTGTGCCCATCGCCCTGGCGCCCAGCAGAGCGACGACGACACACAACACCCACTGGCATTTAAGTCGGGCGCGTCCCCCTACAGGGGGAGTTTCGGCGGAAAACGAAACTCACAAAAATGCCCCCAAAAGGTTAGACAATACCCCAAAAATACTCCCCATATTATTTTTGGACTATTTTGGGGCTATTTTTGGGGTATGTTTTATTTTTCGTCGAAAATCCCCCTGTAGAGGGACAGGCCCGACTTAACGCTACCCAAGGAAAGAAACCCGCATGCCCGTTCACCGTAGGACCACAAACGCTACCAAGCCCACGCCAAACCACATCCGGGTAACGGTCTACCAACTGGGCCGCACAGAGGGCAAATGCCTCCTGCATCCAGACTGTGTGGTCCAAGTCGCACTGGACCCCGCGGACACCGTGATCTGAATCCGCGGAACCATCTGCGAAACGGACGAATTCGCTGTTACGTCGTCTCTTCAAGAGCTCTTCACATCTCAATTCCCAGGAGCTGCACCAACCAACGGCACGCGGCAACCAGGAAGAACAGACATGACCAAATCTAGGGCAGAGGAGGGTCACAAGACAGCCAAGCGCGACCACTCACGCAAACAAATTGATGTCGACATCACCGACGCCATCACAACAACCTTCACCTCCCACCTCAATGCGATCCCTATCCAGGATTCCGTGGCGCTCTTTGGGCGCCACGGCACCGTGGCGAGCAAACGAAGACTCAAGGCGACGTTCGGCTCCAGGCCGACTGACGTCCCGATAGTCCTTTCCGCCTCGGGGCAAGGGGGCATCCAGTCCGACATCAGCTACCGCGGTACGAAAGGACCTGGGCCAAGCGAGTGCATCACCGTGTGGTGCCAGGACGGCAACCAGTGCATCACCGTGTGGTGCCACCGAACGTCTCAAAGGCCGAACGCCTTTGGAGCCGCCATTGCAGACAAACAATGGTACGTGCCAGCGTCAAACGAACACGGACGGAGACATGGCCGTTGCCATCACAATCCGAGGGACCGACGCGGCACTGGATAGCAACAAGCACCGCATCGCAGGCATCTCGGGCCCCAAAGAGCTACGAGGACTCAGATTGCCCGAGGCCCCTGCATCCCTCCAGTGGCCGTGAGAAGTCCGACGCGCGGGGTGGGAACAGACGACCACCAAGGGGGGCTCGGGCCCCAAAGAGCTACGAGGACTCAGATTGCCCGAGGCCCCTGCATCCCTCCAGTGGCCGTGAGAAGTCCGACGCGCGGGGTGGGAACAGACGACCACCAAGGGGGGCTTTGCCGCCGCCAGGGGGGCGACGGCCCCATCCGACACCACGGTGCACCTGCACGGCCCAACTGCTCAATGGACCACCGCACACATGGAAGCTATCGCCAAGACGGAACCGCCAAAGACACGGATGGCAGTGGGGCGCAGGGGGGAGGGGGGCCAGGGGAGGAGGAGGAGGAGGAGGAGGAGGAGGAGGAGGAGGAGGAGGAGGAGGAGGAGGAGGAGGAGGAGGGAGGAGGAGGAAGCGGGAGGAGGAGGAGGGAGGAGGGAGGGAGGGAGGGAGAGAGGGAGGGAGGGCGGAGGAGGAGGAGGAGAAGGAGGAGGAGGGAGGAGGAGGCGGAGGGAGGAAGAGAAGGAGGAGGAGGAGGAGGAGGAGGAGGAGGAGGAGGAGGAGGAGGCGGAGGCGGAGGCGGAGGAGGCAGGCACGCCCACGCAGGGGCCGCCACCAGGCGACCCCCGCGCCGACTCGCCAAGGCCGGGCGGCCGCTAGGCCGCGCCTCCAAGCACCACTGCCGCCGCCGCCCAAAAGGGCCGCCCGGCACGCCACCGCCTGCGAAGAAGCAGGGTGGCCGCAGCGCGACGGGGGCGCGCCAGCGCTCAGTCGGGGAGCGCCTTAGCGCAACAAAAGAACTCGACAAAAGATGGGCATGAATACGGCCTCAGGGCCATGCCTCCGCACCGTACGCGTCCCAAACCGCCGCCAGGACCATGCTGAAGAGGCCCCTATGGGCTCTCATCACCCCACCGAGATAACGACGAGCAACAGTTGCTGACACGTGCACGGTGCTGGAAGGGCAAGGATGGGTTGTCCGTAGTAGTAAGGGTTCTGCTGTGTGTGTGTGTTTCTGCTTGTCCTTTCTCAGATCGTCATGGGCAGACTGACCTCCCTAGGTCACGTGGGTTCGTGCAGCTTCAGCAAGGGTGAAACAGGGCCTCCGTTGCACCCAGCGAAGAGGTGCTCTGGCCGCCCAGTGCCCGCCGTGTGCGCCTCGGTCCCTGAGCGGCCGCCCACGCGCAGACTCTCATCTGGTGCCTCATTTTGCGCGACCAAGAGATGTCGGTCCCGAAGCCTGACCAAGTTACGACAGATCACATCCGTGGAACGACAACGGGCACCGTCGAGTTTTCCACACTGCAAGCGGCGCACAACATGTAACCGCTGCGACCTATACTACAACGTCGTGGACCACTTCGGCTTCTACGATTATCGCAGGATGAGGGCCCACCAGGACCACTGCAGACTGCGACTACAACACGTGGCCGCAATGGTTCACCAGGAAACCGCGTCCCGGACCGTAGCGCTCAACATCATCACTGCATGCGCACCAACGACGGTGACCGTCTGCACCAGATGCCTACCAGCAACGACCATGACGAGCGCCGACACGCCCAGCCGCATGACAGCACAAAACATCTAGCAAGGCGACGAAGCACAAACATCCGCCGCGCCCTCCGACATGCAATGCCGGCCGCGGGCCAACCTGAACCCATTCGAACGCGAAAACGCTGCGGACACGCCAGGGCGGAGGGACACCGAACGGAAGCTTTCGCGATCCTCGTCCTCCTCCTCGACGGCTCGGATTCCGAGCCCCCGATCGCACACCTGCTTCGGTCGCCCTCTATCCAGATCTGAATCGCCTCACTGCCTGGCCTGGAAATTCAGTCCACCAGCTTGAAGTTTCTGTGGAGGCTGGGATTCACCACTGCCCTGAGCCAAGCCCTGCGAGAAGGCTTTCTCACAGTAACAGTGCATCTGACGTATGGCTAAGCGAAACCATGCCTGACAGTGACACAACATGATGCGGGCACCGAAGCACAAGGAAACACTGGGCCTGATCCTTGCCATCGCCGTCCTTTCTCTTCGCCTTCTTCTCGTTGTGGTCCGAGTCCGAAGAATCTGAGGATGAGCCTACCTTCTTACCACCTTTCTTATCTGCCTTCTTCCGTTTCTTTTCATCTTTTTTATCCTTCGGGGGGGGCGAGGAGAAGGAACACCATGATGATGACGACGAGAAGCCCCCACATAAGCCGGAGAATGGCAGCGAAGGCGGAACAGTGGAGGATGAGGAAAAGCCCCCTCAGGCATGACAATGATGACAATGATGTATGTTGGATTGTACCGTTGGGGGCCATCCTCTCTACGGCACGTGCTGGCCAAACGACTGGGATCTGAGGGAAAAAAACACCAAAGCGGGCTCGGCTCCCCCGCCTCGTGCGCCAGCGAACGCATCCCGGAAGAGAAGGCAGGTTGAGCCCACATAGCTCAAGAAAGGAGGGGAACCAGGACGACTAATGCATGGCATGTTGGGGGATCGAGGTCACCGATTCCCGAGATCCCGCCAGGTCCTTTCTGCGCAAGCGACCCCATGACTTACCTACCCTCACACTGAAAAGTCGCGTGCCCGAGCGTAGTATACAGAAGTAAAATGACGAGCGAACAACACGCAACCATACCCATAGGTGGGACGGAGGGGGCTATCGGTGTGTGTTGTCGGATGGGGGCCCCCGCTCGAAAGGAAGCGCCCCCCCAGGATCCGACAACCCGCACCCACACCCATAGCTAGTCCTCCTCCCAACGTTCCCCCTTATGAGTATGGGTGTGTGTGGCGTTCGTTCGTCGTAAAAACCACGACATTCTGGACAGCCTTGGGCACCAGCTCGTGGGGACGCGGGGCGAAACACGTGCGGTGTGTGTCCGTCTCGGGCCCGCTCGCCTGGGCACCTCCGGCCAAGGTGGGGTACGTCACCAGACGCCACATTTGAAGCCGAACTGCGCGCGGACAGTCTGGCACTGCAAACATATCTCGACACGTAGGACACACACAAGCTCAGATGATTCAGGTCAGGCGTCTGGATCGCCAGCTGCTCGGCACACAGGACGCCAACACCGTGGCACGGTCAAGGAACGACCATGTTTATCTGTTGCACGAGTGGATGAATAACGCGTGCGGGTCGAGAGACGGCAAGACGGCGCGCGTGATGCCTCCGCGACGACATTGCAGGGCCCCAAACTCGCGACCCCAATCGCTGGACGACATGCTTCGCTGTCTTATCTTGGGTGGGATTCTAAGCACTTCCGATCGGTTTGTGTGCTGGACGCCAAGATTCAACTGGAAGATCGAACAAAGCAATGTCTAGAACCGCCGTGCGGTAGATGACAGCATTGAAATAGCAGTAGAAGACACTGGCGGATACGAATCCTGAGCATGCATCTTGCGAGCGCGTGCGTCTCCATGGCTCAAACTGTTGGGGACAACGTGGGACTTCATATTGGTTGCGCTTGTTGAGCGAGTAAGACGGTTGGGTGATCTGCGGAACTACCTCAACCTTTGGCATCCTGAACATGTGTTTCAGTGGTCCCCAGGCCCGGAACGGGGACACAAACATTCAGACACATCACAACGCTGCACCTCGGCTCTGGAGCCAACCGCGCGCTCGGCGGGCCTTCTTCCCGCCCTTCTTGTCCTTCCTCTTCTCCTTGCGAGGAGGGGGAGAGGGGGAGTCGGATACCAGCGCTTTGGCGGACGTATTGTTTCAACCCCGTCGCTTGTCTCAATTTGAGTCTCCAAGGGAAACTTTCAGACCCCAGACTATCAAGACGCAAGTCGGAATGACAAGCCGGCCCCGGGGGGCGTGGTCGAGAGCTCCAACACACCCGAGTAAAGCTATGAAGACGTCAGAGGTCTGGATCAGGGGGGAGGCGGGCCGACAATGACGAGGGAAAGAAAAAGGTTGACGACGACGACGACTGAGGACGACCACAAGCTTTCTTGCCCTCATGATTGTCCTTCTTCTTCTCCTTCTTCTTGGTCTTCTTCTTGGCTTTCTCCTCCGAGGACGAATCCGATGAATCGTCCTTCCCCATCACCCCCGCCGCGGCGCAGCCGGGGCCCACCCTCGATCTCGAGCCAGAATCGAATATAGGGCCCCCCAGGAAGTTTCACCTATGCACGGCGACCCAGACGCAGCGACGGCGACGGCGAGAGTGTGGTCGGAGAGATAGGGAGAGAGAGAGAGAGAGAGACAAATACACATGAGGGGGAAAACGAGAAAAAAAAACAGCAAGCATCATAATGGGAATACATAAGACACAACAACAGCAACGAAAACAACATCATCAACAACAATACAACAAACAAAGTAACAAACAACAGCGGAGAGGGGGAAAAGGAAGCAAAGAGCGGGCCACACGGATGACTTGTCAAGAAGACTGGCGGCTCACACTGGTACGAAGGGACCGACCCCTCGACAGCGGAAGCTCGAGTCTCTTCACGCGCCGCCAAACCCGAAAACGATGTGCGTGCAAAACCATACAGTGGAGGCCAGTCCACAAGAAACATTCCACAAGAAACCCAACCCTGATACCCCAGGACGTCCATTGATTTTTGGCGTGGGGACGTCACGCTTTCCATAGCAAAACCATCGAAACCCAAGAAACCCAGTCCACATTGGAGGCAAGCAGGGCGTTTCTTGGCATCGGCCTCCACAGTATGTCAGCTTGCCTGTGCAAAATCGCCGTGGAAGGTGTTTCGGAGTGCTGTCGAAGGCGAGGGCCGCGCCTCTACCACAGCAGCCCGTTCCCAACGTCAAGTGCCATGATTCTCACTGCCTTCGGCTTACGCGTGCGTGTGTCCAATGTGTATGTCGTTGGCAGCTCATACTATCTACCACGAACTTCCAGTCAACAAATACGACCACTTGCGGCGGTACTGCAACCCACTGCCTGAAATAGCCACTCCGGAAGCCCTCGGTACAAAAACACTGCCCCTGCAACTGTCGCACTGCCCATGGGATTCCGTTGCCCTAACGCGCGGGGAAAAAACACCCACGCGCGACCGTCTTCAAAACATAGCACATGACTCAGCTCGGCTGTATGTGGGGAGACCAACAGGTATCAATAACGCTACTCCTCGGACCTCTCCTGGGATGCGTTCTGACAATAATTTCAAGGAGAATCCAGCGGTGACGACGAGGGCCTCCCAAGAGGTCCAGAAAGGGAAAACCGGGCGAAGGGTAGCGGCATCAGTACCTTTTCCTCCTCGGAGTATGTGCTTGGGCGGGGGTTACGCCGTGGACGCACTTACCCCCCAAAGTCGCACATGGACAGTCGAAGCCCAGAATCGGCTCGACGCAAAGGCAACTGGCTACTGTTGCCCACTGGCATCCATCCGAACCTGCTGCCGAACACGAGCAACAGTGCTCCACAAAGCGGACGAGGCCGCATCATCCTTGGGATGTACCTTATCTGGCCCGCGGTTGCTTCCCATGCGCAGCGCATCGAGCGCCAGAAGCGGGCAATCCTTCACACTGGGCCCGCTGGGCATGGGCGGCACGGCTCGCGCTGTGAGCTCAGACTGGGGCAGCTTGACCAAATAATGCTGGAGAGGGAGGAGGCAATGTGGACGACAAGAGGGGGGGGATACGGTAAGAGTTACGAGAGAGAAGGGAGGGAGGCGAGAGGCGGGGCACGAGGGAAGGCGTAAGAGGAAACAAGGAATGGAGGGAGGGAGAGAGGAATGTCGACGAGCGATGAGGGACGAAGGTGGCAATAGGGAGGATGCGAGTATTGCTGTGATGAGGGGCGGGGCAAGGACGAGGCACGTGCTGACACGGCTAAGAAGGGCAAGGTGAGCAGAGGAAGGCAGTGCATAAGAACGGGGAATATGAACAGGGGGAGCAACAGCACCAGGGGGAGGCGGAGGAGCAGGGGTAGGGCGAGGCAGAAGGTGAAGAGTACCAAGAAGAAACAGCAGCGGCAGGCACAGGAGCACGACGGCGAGCAGCCAGAGGCGGGCGGCCCTGGCCGTGAGCAGCCCTGGATGGCACCCCGACGCATAGGCCGTTTTTCACCGGTTCCGCAAAAGTGTCCCTTGAACATGGAAACGGCAAAAAAACGGCGACCGGAAACGGCAACAAAAACGGCTCCAGGATTGGAACCGGAGCGGGAACCCGTGAAAGAACGGCGATGGAACCGGTAACAAAAACGGCGTCGGAACCAGCAACAAAGACTGCAAAACGGAACCGGTAAAAAAAACTGCCCTGTCGCTTCCAGGGCCCACTAAGCCCGACGCCCGAACCTGACTCTGGGATCTTGAAGTGCGGTGTCTCGCTGCTCGCCCGCCGGCCCGTCCTCCTCCTCCTCCACCCTCTGCCGCCCCTCGTCTGGCTGCTGCCTCTCCTCCATCCTCCTCTCTCATGCTCCTGCTGCTCCTCCTCCTCCTCCTCCTCCTCCTCCTCCTCTTTCTCCTCCTCCTCCTCCTCCTCCTCCTCCTCCTCCTCCTCCTCCTCCTCTCATGCTCCTGCTGCTGCTCCTCATCCTGCCCCGGCTCATCCTGCTCCTCCTCATCACCGCGTCGACGGCGCTGATGCTCCTCCTTGCCCCCCCGGATCACGCACTGCGCCTCCTGCCTCTGGTGCTCCTCCTCCTGCTCCTGCTCCTGTGCCTTCTCATCCTGTTCCTGCTGCGCCCCCATCCTGGCCAGTATCTCTCCCTTTCTCTCCCCCTTCTCCGCCCCACCCCTCCTCCGCCCCACCCCTCCTCCGCCCCACCCCTCCTCCCACACCAGAACGGAGCACGCGCGCGGCTGGCCGCATCACATCCATCACACCAAGGGGCGGAGGACGAATACGTAGGGGCCGAAGGATGAGATGGACGGAGCGGGAAGAGGGGGGGGGGGATGAGTAGGAGGGGGCGGGTCTGAGAGAAGCGGAGAGGGAGGGAGGAGGAGGAGGAGGAGGAGGCGGAGGAGGAGGAGGAGGAGGAAGAGAAGGCGAAGGAGTAGGAGGATAGGAGGTAGAGGAGGCAGGAGGGAAGGATGAGCAGCAAAAGGAGGAGAGGAAGGAGGGAGGACACGGAAGGCGGAGAAGACAACACAGGAAGTCCAGAACTGGAAGGGGAAGGAGAAGCAAGGAGGAGGGAAGAGGAGGGAGGCGGACGACGGCGATAAAGCAAAGGCACTTATCCGCGCGCCGTCCGTGCGTGAGCAGCAGCTCGAGGGTGTCCCACGCCTGCCCGCGCGCGGCAGGAAGAGAGGTTAGTTGGTGCCCTCCGTGGGCTGCGCATCGGTGCTGCGGGGGCAGCTGCCGAGAGGGCAGCCGGGATAGAACGCCTTCCTCGGCTGATCTCGCTCGGCCTCCGCACCCAGCCCCCCAGGGAGGCACACCGAGAGAGAAGGGTCGGGGTCGGGACTGGAGGAGGGGATCGGGGTCGTCCGATGAGGGGGGGGGGCCAGGGGCGGCCAAGGACCGCATCGAAATAGGAAGAGGGGCCATGACGTCTGGGGAGATCTTATGGCCCTGGCCATGATATCCACATATCCCTGATCTCATCAACCCCCTCTTGGCCGCCCCCGAGTAGGATCAACCCTAGACTCTAGATGTTCGGAGGTGCTGCGAGTGGAGGGAGGCAAGGGCACGAGCACGCGGACGGGAGAAGCACGCGCGACTCGGCGAGCGACGCAGCTCACGAGCGAAGAAGTGGGAGAACGCAGGCAAGCTACCGAAGACGAAGGAAGGTACGAGGTAAGATGCGCGGGGGAAGAGGGGCGTAAATAAGTTGGAGGGCTCCAAGCGGGAATGGGGGAGGAGGAGGAGGAGGAGGAGGAGGAGGAGGAGGAGGACAAGGTAGGGACCGGGGAACGGAGAGAGGATGGCATCTTCAAAAACAACGTGTTTGGCAAAATGGCCGACGTGCCGCATCGACGTACACTGCTTCAGCAGATGCCGCAAGCAGTGCGCTGATTCGGCGAGATCAGCAGAGAGAGAGAGAAAAGAGATAGAGAGAGAGAGAGAGGAAGAAAGAGAGGAAGGTGGAGCGGAGGGGGGAACAGGTGGCGACGCAAAAGGGGGGGGCGGGGGGCGAAGTTGGAGGGAGGGGAGGTGAAGCGAGAGAGTAGATTATAGGATGGAGATGGCGGGGAAGTGTGAGGAAGGGCAAGTGGTGGATGGAGAGATGGATGTGGGAAATGTGGGACAGGGGAGAGGTTGGGACGCGAGGGCGGAGATAGAGGACAGACGATGGATCCAATTTTTTGTTGCATGCCCTCACGGCGTGGCCGATCGCAAGCACCTGAACCTGGCAGTTGGAAACCGTGGACCAGTCGGCCGCGGAGAGGCCGGGCAGGGAGACGAGGGCAGCGGCGATAGCAGAGCCCCAGACAATACACCACCACCAGCCCTGGCCAGGCCTATCGTGGGCCCTGGACTTGTGTACAGGCCTTCCTGGCCAGGGCCAGGAAGTCTGTTTTCGTTTTGTCGGGACGGGCTCGTTTTTGGAACTTTTGCAATCTTTTGAATTGAGAACTGGCGACTTCTACAAATGCTTTGATTGGAAACCGACTGATTGTGCAACCTTTCTGTTTTGTCCAGTCGGGTTCGGTTGTCAAATTGCGCAACCTTTTTCATTTAGAACTGACGGCGTGTGCAACTTTTTTGATTGGGAAGCGATGAAATGTTCAACTTGTTCGTTTCCTCGGGCCGGGCTCGGTTTTCAAACTTGTGTAACCTTTTTGATTGAATGGACGACTTGTGCAGCTCCTTTTGATTGGAAAGCGTCGAGTTGCGCAACCTTTCTCGTTTTGTCAGGTCGGGCTCAGCTTCAAACTTGTGCAACTATTCTGATTGAGACTTGACGACTTACGCAGTGCAGCTCTCCTAATAGGGAACCGACGAATGGTGTAGCCTTTTTCGTTGTGTCGGATCGGGCTAGGTTTTCGAACTTGTGCAAACTTTTGGATTGAGAATTGACTTGTGCAACTTCTTTTGTTGGCAACCTTTTCCGTTCTCAGGTATGCTCGGTTTCCGAACTTGTGCAACCTTTCTGACATGGAATTGGCGACTTGTGCAACTTCTTTGTTTGGGGACCGACGAATTGTGCAACCGTTTTTTTCTTGTCGGGCCGTGCTCGGTTCTCAGA